ACGAGTACGGCCATCCCTCCTCCGAGGCAAGCACCATCAGCACGGAAGGTGCTGCACCGAATTGCCGCACAGCGTCATTCTCTTCGATAGCGTCGTCAGCTTCCCTGTACGACCATGACTGTTCTGGCCTCCCCTCATGCACCTCCATTCCCGTCCCCGTTTTCTTTCGCTCCACGCCGTCAGGTACTTCCACCGCATGGCTCCGCCTCGCATTGTGCACAGAATCGTAAAACCCCTCCATTTTCATCGCTGCAATCGTCGTCGTTGGGTTCCTCGCTTCCTGAAGGGCTGCATCCAAAAACCCTTTAGCGACGTCATGAACATTTGCCTTTACCTCCGCAGCAGCCACCAACCACTTCAGTAGATTGTCCACACCACTTTTGTAAAGCTTGTGTACATCCTCTGCCATATCCATTTCATCCCTTACAGCCCTCTCCATCCTCACATAACGATCCGATGCCTGTATTTCGCCCAATACTCCCGCATCGCAAATATATTTCTTGTGGTCCTCAAAAAAACCCTCCAACAAGACATCCCGATTGGCGTCCAAAGCGCCCCTGCCGCCCAATTCCATCGCAAGAAAATCATTCAGCCTCATTTCGTCCACGCAAACCCTTCCTTTAAAAACCGCATATTTAATCCTAGTGGAAACGTCAATTCCCAGTTTTTGTCGTTCTCGCCTTTCCCTTTCTTCTGCCTCCCGCCTCTCTACTCTCAGTACATAGGAGTAGGCTGTGTTTATTTGTGCCCTTGCAAGAGGAGTGATCGTATCCTTTTCTTTCATAGTCCCTACGTTGCCCGAGAGAGAGCACACCTTCGTGAAGAGGCTTAGTAATGGCCTCCAGCGCTTGGTGCGCATTTAAGTTAAGGATTTCAAGAAGCCGCTGGTCTTGTACGTAATCATCCGGCTCCTGAACAAACATCTCCATCGTCACATTGTGGTCTTTCATCAACGGCCGCCCTGCCGCCAGCATAATTCCAAAGGAACTTACTCAGCCTCATGTTGGTGCTGCTCATGGTCCACTGCGGCCACACTTTACTCCCCGCCACATGTCGAGCTGCAGCGTCGGAACCGTCACAAGAGCCACGGCGAGGCGCCATCGCAACACCTGTGCGGTGAAGCATCCCACTCGCACGCCCAACTGCGGCCAGCAGGAGCCGCTGGCTCCAAGGGACTGTCGCGGCTGTTTCGCCCCGCTGTCCCAATGGCGTTGGGCGTGGCACTCGCATGGCGGGACGGTCGGTGCGCCATGCAGCCGCACTGCAACGCCTGTCGGTGAAACAGTCGAAGCCCACCGCCCCGCAGCAACACAACGTGCAACCAACCACAACACCGCCACATTATACTCTTTTTCTATTTTATTTTATTTTATTCACGTTGTCTGTCTGTTTGCCCCATCACCGACACTAAAAATAAGTGCACACCTTCACGAAAGGATGAAAAGAAAACACGAACCCACCGTCACGCCGCGGATCAACACTCTCGTCCACCCACCGCCATTGCCGCACAGGAGACCGCAGTGACATCGCAGAGTCAACACCACAACGCGCACAGCACCATCGTGCAGTGAACGATGGGCGAGACGCGGCCATGCATCGCCCCGCTCCATTTTCCCACCACTCAAGTGTTGCGTGCCCACACAAACTAGCAAACACAATCAGAGTGCACACAAACCCAATCAACACCCTCACTCGCTGAAGCACATTATTCGCATGGAGTGACAACAGTTAAGGGCACACCAGCAGTAGCAGGCTGCATGGAATTTCCCTGCCAGCCCTGAAAAGCGACGCAACAACTCTGCGGAGTCAAAGTGACAGCCCCTCGGTGCTGCCCGCAGTCCACATGGCTGGAAGAATTCCACGCACGCATAGCTCCGGACACCTCGCTGTTTGAGTGCACACCAACAGAAAATGTGAAAAAAATGCCTGCGCGAAAGATGGCATTTAAATACGTGAAAAGTCGGCCTGCTTTCTCCGATGGTGTTGGCGAGCAGTCCCACACAATCCAACCAAAATGACACGCCGGACAGAATGAAGTCCGTCAATCAATAAAAAAATGCGACACTGAAAAGGAGCAGTAAAGAGTTGGCGCATGCGATTGCCAGTGACAACTGTGAGCAACCCCGCCAGCACCAACTGAGGTGCCGAGGAGCACGTTTGTGCAGAACTGGCCGTCAGGCAGAGAGGAAAAATAAAACAAGAGGGCAGCAAACCCTCTCGTTCAATGTCTCCTGACCGCGACACCAGAATCAAAATACCATGGACGACAAGAGCGGCAACGCCTTCTCCAAAACATCGTGTCAAGAAGCCGCAGGACCTCAGGAAGGGAGGAAGGCAGCGGCAGCAGCCACAGGGGGAGGCAATAAAACGGCTGGCAGGCACCTTCACGTCGACGCGCACACCGCATCCGAGTGGGCCGGGAGCACAGACCAAACCGCCCGGAAACACACGCATCAAATCCGCAAAACAAAGTCGCGTTGAATCGACAGGAATTCCCCGCCCAAAACAAATTTAAAAAGTAGCGTTTTTCAAGGGGGAATCGCCTTTCCGACGACGGCACGGACACCTCGCAGGAATTTCTTGCAAATCTTCCTTCGCAGGTCCGCATGAAAAAGCAGTGGAATAAAAAGAGAGCGCAACGACGCAAAAAAATAATCCTCCCAACAGACCAGGTGGCAGGCTGCCCTCGTGCAAGTGGACAAAACACAACTTCACTCCGGTCTTGTCGTGGTGGTCGTCTCGCAACATTTTTTTCCTTTTCCCCGCAGTGCACATCCCCCTCCCACAAATCATTTGTTCGGGCCATGATCCTGCGGCCAAACATCGCGCTGCTGGATCCCGCGGCACAGAAGTGAGGGAGGAAGAGGGACCGCAGGACGTGCGAGCAAATCCGAATTCGGTGGCGGTCGCTGCAGCGAAGACTGACGTCCCACGCGGCGTCCCTTTTCTGGGCCCGGTCCTCACCGTGCCATGCTCTCAGCGTGCGGTGCGCCGACCGCTCCGAGCCCCGTTCGTTGGCTGCATCAGGGATGCCGCCATCCAGAGACGGGCATAAGGACGTTGCATCCAACAAAACCTTCAGAGGCACCCGGTGGGCCAACGACGATCGTCACTGCGGGATGTGTGGCCCTTCCGCCGCTCACCTCAAATCGCACTTCTACGCCTCCTCGAGCAGCAGCAGCATAAATACACCGGTCCACTAGGGGCCCTCACCAGCCATTGCAGGAAGACCACTGTGCCCCACTGCTATGAAACCCATATTGCATTGAAGGGTCAATTCTTAAAATCCTGTCGCATCCTCCCCCATTATGCGGAAACACATCCGTCGTGCATGTGTCCACCGCAGCCAAATGAATCTGGTCCAAATGCCCTCCAAATCAAATTCCCCTTTCCGCACGCCATTCCTTCATTCCATACGCCCTGACCCTCATCCGCACGTGTTCACTCACACAAGCCGCCATAGACAGATGGTGGCCGCCCAACGCTCCGGAAAAACATGCCCAGCACGCACACGCACAACAAATGGCATGCGCAAACGCACGGCACAACGGCGAAGAAGCGCACACCAAAAGGATGCGGCCCTCCACAGCAGTCGCAGCCCACCGCGCGCATCACACCCGCAGGAAGAGTGACTCGCGGTGCGCGCTCCCTCTCCTCATCCCCTTAATGCCCACGGAGGAAGCAGCTGCCACCCGCAACTGCCAGCACACGCCACAAAAGAAGCATCAAAATCCACCGCAATGTGCATCTTGTGCGTGTGGTTGTGTGTGCCTGCAGACACACGAAGCAAAGAAGTAAAAACAGGAGCAGAGCATGTGGAGGGACGCACAAACAAAAATGTACAGCAGAAGTGCATGGCAGAAATAAAGAGAAAAAGACTGCCCAAACTCATGATATTGCACTGCAGACAAAGCAGCGGCAATTCATTAAAAAATTTAATAAAAATAAATTTAAAAAAATCATCTTCACCTTCCACACCTCACACTTTAGAAAAATGAAAAAAAAAAAAAATAAAAAAAAGTCTTCCTCTACTACGGCTAAATCCAAATAATAAAAAAGTAAAAAAAAAGAAAACACAAAAAAAAAGCACCCAACTACCGTGTGGCCACACCAGACCGTCTGCATATATTTTGCCCAAAAAAGAAATTTAAAAGATATATTTACATTTCTTTCAACCGTCCGACCCTCTGTGTTTCCGCACATCGTTTATATTTCATGGGGTCATCCGCGTGTTGCTGCTCCCCTCAGCCCTCCCATCGGCGCGTGAGTGCGGCCTGCAGAGCTCAGTCACTCGTGTGTGTGGGGACTGAGAGAATCACGCAGACATGACGGGAGTCGCGTCACTCCATCGGGAGAGTGAGCGCAGCGAAAAAAAAACATCGGGGAAAAGAAATGCTCACAAGACCGACACCGAAAGAAATGCCGGCGCGTGAAATAAACACGCAAAACAAAAAAATCTTAAAAACACGGCGGCAGGGTGTGGCTGTGTTTGTGGCGCTGCGGGTGTCTGCCAGCCCTGGCCGCAAGAAAACAAAACAAGAGGGAAAGAAATGTGTGCTCCGCCCCACAGGCCCTCGTCGCACGCCCACACGTCACGGCTCCCGCAGCGCGCCGTTCGTCGCGGCCCCTCCTCATGCGTGCAGCAGGCGAGGCGCACAGGGCCGTCGTCATGAGCGTGTCGGTGGGTGTGCGAGTGGAGCAGTTGGGCGGGAAACACACGGCACCCCTCACAGGAAGAGTGCAGAAGAAACAATTAAAAGAGGGAAGAGTAGAAAAGAAAAAAAAATCCATAGTGATTGCCCCCAAAAGTAAAAAAAAAAAGGGATGGGGGATGAGAAAAAAAAAAAAAAAAACGAACAGAAAAAACAAGGAAGTAGAAAACAGGAAAATAAATTTAAAATGAGCAAAAAAAAGATTTTATGAGGGAAATTTGTTCCCATGGGAATAGTACTTCTGTGCTCGGGAGGGCGCAGGTATTCCACGCGGCAGCCAGTCACTCCTCACAGAGCCGCAAACCCCCACAGTCCCAACAACAGAAGAAGAAGCGGCAGCAGTCCGCTCCCACGCACAATGCCGTCATCGCCTGTTTTTTCTCCAACGGCATGGGAGCTCAAGGCTGCCGGCACTTGCTGTGTTTCACGGTTTTTTCGAGACTGCTGCGAGGCCGCCTGCTCCACTGGAGCCTCAGAAGCCGACGCAATATCTTCTTCCAAATCGGCACTCCCGCCAGTAAATGTCAAAGGACGGTTGTACAGCAGGACGTTCCTCACAGTCACAGACACACCTTCGTCACCCGCTGTGTTCTCTGCATTGCCTCCATTCCCTCCAATGTAGAAGTGTGAGATCCCTTTCGATTCTGTATTTTCAAATTTACTTTGCACACTCTCACACACACGCTGACCATCAACGTACACGGAGCCCTGGGTGCCGTTCCGTAGCACAATGGCCACTTGGTATTGTCTCTGCGGCTCCCAAGTGCTTTTAAGCCTCTTGGTTGTTCCGTCACAGCAGAGCGCCTGCCACTTCTTTCCACTGCCGTACGACAACTCCATAAGTTTTGTTCCTCCGTCAGTGCCCACACGCACACCCATCAAAGAGACGCTGCCACTCTTCGGCTCACCGTGGACGTACACCGTCGCCACAAGAGTGAAGTTGTGGTTCGCAAAGTGGTACAGCTGATTCTCCCTCTGCTTGCCAACAGGCCACTCCGCCCACGCACCACGTCCTTTAAATGTTACGCCATTATCCGCCTCTGCTGCACCCTCTTTATTCGTTACCGTGGCGTTCACCCCGAGGTACTCGTCCTTCCATGTGTTATCAGAGAAGCTGCCAGACAAAAAGCCAACCAGACCATCCGTGGTCTTACCAGCGCTGCAGCCATTGCCAGCTGAGGGATTCTTCGCAGCACTTGAAGTGGGGCACAGCTTGGAGACACGTTTGTCCACTTTCTTCCACGTCGCCAGCACATCCTTCACCCGCTGCAGCTGCTCAGTCAGAAGCACAGAGACCATACCGGGTGATGGTTCCCCATCGCCCTTCTTCTCGTACAGTGCAATCAACTCCTCATTATTATCAGTTTTGTACAGCAAGGAGCTGGCGGCAGCGTCATCATCACCGGATACCGGCCCAATATCAACAATGTGCGTATTGTCCGTCAGCCAAAGATGGAGTACGCCCTTTTCATTAACTTGTCCTTTCTCAGCATTATTGGCATACACCGGCAGAGTAACGAGCATCACGTCCCTGTTCTCAATCGTCGCTGTAGTGAACCCGCTTCCAACGCCCATCTCATTTCCCTTTTGGTTGTTGCCCCACACGCGCGAGAGTGTTCCGAGGGCCTCCGTCCACGAATCCCCCTTGTCACCGGACTCGTACACCCTGCGGCGGCCATCATCACACGCAGTCATCATCATGAGTTTTCCCTTCCACTCCGCAACGGAGGGATCACTGCAGCCGTCGGCAGACATCCCCTTCGACAGCTTCCCACCCTCAGTGGCTGAGGAGTATATGATCAGCGAAATGGTTTTTCCATTTTTCGTGCCTTCCACTGGGAACACAAGCGTACCGTCCTTCGTCTGAACACCCGATCCACCGCCGCCAATCAGCCGTGTCAAGGATTTGTGTTGTTTTTCAAAACCAGTCCACGGGATAACGGAAGCGTCTTTCCAATAAATATATTTTTTATCGCTGCTCCCATCATTACTGACGTTTCCCACAGCCACCAAAAGTTCCCATTTAACTGCTGCAGCTGTGTTACCAGCAGCTGCCCTATCAGTAACTTCAAAACTGTAGGTTCCAGCAAGCATGTAAATATCACTCCCATTCACAACTGCTGTTGGCCGGCTCACATCTACTTTCTTCCCAATGCTTGAGGAAGCGACTTCCTCCAGAACTTGTGTATCTTTGGTTTCCTTCAGAACTTCCTTCGGTTCGTTACCCTTTCCCATCGTGAGCATTTGGGATGCAATGCCGGTAAAGACACTCTTACCATTCTTCTTGCAGTGCGCCTCGGCAACAGCAAATACATCACTCCCCACTTTCAAAAGGCCGGGAACACCCAACGAGTCTACAGTTACATCACCTTCAGTGATGTTCTTCCATTCAAACTTTGGACCAGAAGACAACGGCTCCTCCACACCATCAACGACAGCAGTCCCACCAGTGCTGCAAAACACCAACACAACGAGGAGGAGCAGCGCCGCGGAAGTAAACACATGCCGGGACATGTTGGGCCTCTGCGGCTCACTCTCTCCTCCTTCCCTCCTCCTTCCGCTGGATCCGGTCATGCGGCGACGGTTGTGTGTGCGGGGTGCCTTCACTGCAGCAACACGTGAGAGCATATCAATATGTGTGTGTGGGCGGTCTGTGCGTTGTTGGTCCTTTCAAAAACTCTGAATTTCGCAGTAGCGTTTAGTGCCTGTTTGCTTTCTTCGTAAGAAAGTGAAAGAGAAAACGAGGTAATAAATATGGGTGAAAGAATAAGCACCGCCATCCACAGTGAGTGGCACCATCATCCCCGCCGCAGTCACTCCCCACAACAACAACTCACGCACACAGACACACGGAACGAGACGGAAGAACAGCGCACCGGGAACACACAGCGACTGCCACCACCAGCAGCAGGAGTCACGGCGGGTGTGTCGTTATTCACGCGTCAGCACACACCGAGCAACGCCCACACACGATAACAACCAGCGGGAGGCAAAAGAGCACAACCGCCCTCGAAACACAGACACGCTGCCGCCGGCCGTTCAATTCTTGTCCCTCCATCGCACCCGCTCCGCCGCTGGCGCACATCACCCCCACACAGGCGAAGAATCCCAAATCAGCCGATGAGCAGCAAAAGAGAGACGGCAGCACGTGCAGCTGCTGTGCGGGAGGCGATGCGCACGTACCCCAAGCACCCTCAATGACACAGCACCCAATCAGCTGCATGCCGCCAACACCACACCAGCAACATGTCAGAAAAATGAATTGCAGGCTTTTTTTTCCTCCTCGCAAAAGCCACCGCAGCCAGAATCTTGTGCGTGCGTGCGTTTTCAGTGTTCACGCCGCTCCAAAGCATGTACGACGTGGCGTGTGTTTGTGTTTGTGTGTGTGTGCATGTCTGTCAATGCCTATACTTGCAGGGCGGCTGTGCAGCAAAAGAGAGCGTCCAAAGAAAGCAACGGCATTGAGAAGCGGATAGTACACACGCACTCCCACGGCGTCGGAACAGACGATCTTCTGGAAACCCAAATCGGCGGCCGTGGGTAGCTTGGTGCAGCAGTGGAGAAGGTTGCGGTGACGGAAATTTTCTTGCCAACCCAAATTGAACGTAAATCTGCTCTTTTCCCTTGTGGCTACCGTCGGAATCGTTGTCCGCGGGATCGGCATAGCCGGGCGGAAAAACTAGGCAATGAATGAGGAGGTTCTTCGTGAAGACACTCTCATCAGGGGCGATTCCTATAACTTCTCCGCGAGAACTTCGGTGAGTGCTGTTTGAGGATACTTGATGCCTCCAGTTGCTCGTGAGATCCGCCAGCGAATAGCGTTTTGCGACGCCTCGTGGCCCGGGTGGAACAAATGGCCGCGCCGCAAAAGGGAACTTGCCCGTGACGGCCTTTGTCCTCCAGCTCGCGGGGCGTTCCTTCGCCGCAAGGGCTTTTCTTCCATTCTGCCTGGCCGCCGCGCTTCCCTCTTTTCCGCGTCTCTCCTCCTCCTTGTTTCATTTCGCCGCCGCGCTTCGGCCCATGGGAGGCGCGGCGCCATCATGTCGGCCCCACTCCGTGTCAAACGCCGCCCTCTCATAGAAGGACACGTGTGCTGCGCGTGTGCTGCGCGTGTGCCCGGGCGGCGGGGACGTCTCGTCACCAGCCCGCCACCTCCCAGAGACGCTGGTTGCAGGTGGCAATGCGATTGGGGCGGTCCAAATGCTTGGCATCAACCAAAATGAGAACGATGCTTTAGCGGTCCACTGTTGTTTTGCCTCGAATGAATGCGGGAAAAATAAAATCCAATTTGCACCAAAGGAGCCTGAGGGAAATTCAGGGAAGTCCTTTGCAATTGTCAAGGCTTCAGTGGACAAAGACAACATATCACTGCGGATGTTTCTCTTCTTTTTACTGGTGTGCCATTGCCATTTGGGATCGTTTCACTGCGTGAATAACTTCCGATAGTACTTTGTGGCGTCTCGGCTTTTGTCTCTCTCTTCAACTAGACGACCCATTGACTGTCATGAAAACACACGCTGACGGAACTTGACCGACCCACGACACAGAGGGCAATGAGTCACATTTGTTGCGCATGCATCGCATAGGCAATAATGTCCACATGGAACGAGCACCGTTTCCTTGGGAGAAAAGCACACCACGCACCTCTCATGCTCATCCGTCTGTTTATCATCGTCACCATTTTCTAATCCATGACACAATCGCTGTGAGACTGCTGTCGCATGGCCTTTTGAGGGTGAGCTGACGCCTTCTTCACCAAAACAAAGCGGGATTAAGCCCTCAGCTGACAGCAACTGGCACAGCTTCTTGACGACATCACAAAGTGAGGATGAAACTGGATGCCATGCTGCTAGCTCCGGCGTGTGACAACGTCCGGTAGCATCAACGTATTTGTGGTTGCTCGCTATCCTGCAGCCTTGTTCCGCGCTGAGGAGAAACACCAGAGGAGGCTCAATGGGGTACAAGCGCGTCAGCCATATCTGCAAGGGCAAGACATAACGATGTGGTGGCGCTTGTTCACGGCTGTCTGGGGTTAAAGAAGTGTGGTCGCTGTTGCTCTTCTTAATAGTAATAGGAAGCCCACCATAGATGCAAAGTTTTTCCTGTTGTGTCACTCCCCAATTGGCGTCACGACAGTAGAAATGGAAGGTGTTGCACAAATTCTCGACGTCATGAAGGATGCGGCCCATAACTTCAGGCTTACAGTGTGAGGAACAACCAAAGAAGCGAGTAATAATTTCGTTCATGTTATGTTTGATTGTATGCTTTCCCCTAAAGGGCAGAAGGAAGCCCCTCAGGAAAGGGAGAATAAACCATACAGCAATAATAAGGTTGTGGGGACCTCGTAGAAAGAGGGTCACAGCGTCTTCTTTTCCAGTTCGCATTCCCATTCGTAAACCAAATACAGAGCCTCCCTCTCCCTCTCTTTCTCCATATATATAGTACAAAGGAAATAGCGGGTGCGCTGGAGAAGGAGATTCCACCACCCATATAGGTATTCAATTACAGAAAAAAGTCTCTCGCAGAAACCCGCATCTATGGGCAGGAGAAAAGAGATCGAAATTCACTCGGTGGGTGAAAAACGGCCCGAACTCACTTCAACAGCGGTTTCTCCAGCGGACCCCATGCGTGTGTCGCCTTTCATCGGCTGCATCGGCAGACAACGTGGATCCGCGCCTTGAAAACGCCATGCCTCCGGTAACGATGTATAAGATCGGGAAAGAATTATTTTCCACACGCCCATTCCTCAAGCATGCGGCACGCGCAAGAATCCCAAGCTCGCATCGCCAAGACAAGTTCCATAAACCAACTTTCCAAATCGATGGAACGCAATGTAAATTTCCAGAATCCAGTGCTAAATATGGGGGTCCATTGCGTTTCTGTTGCTTGTTCATCGTGTTTTTTTCCAAACAAATTCCATAACCCACACGCCGGCCACCGTCTTCGAGCACGTCCGCCCTGCCGAGTGGAAACGTAAAAGGAGGTCCCGGCCCCGGAGAGGGCGTGAAACGCACACGATACGCCATGCCACCGAGCTATAGCACGGTGGAACGATGATCCCCCGCTGCCGAGAAACAATGCAACAAGGAGCTACACAATTAAAGGACTCTTGTTGTGTTCAACAAAGTCGCTTTTCATTTCTATATTTGTCGAAGAGAAAATTACACCCTCATGGCCATAAATTCTGAAGCAAAAGCGGATTCTACTCAAAATAATGGTGCCACTCTTTTTCAGGTGTTGGGCTAAGCATGTCTTTTCCTACCACCGGCATCCCGACAAAAGTATTTTGCCGTCAAGTTGAACATTTGTTCAACAGAGCCGCTGTTCTCCCAATAAGCGCACCGCACGGCGTGACGCCAGATTGCGCAAACAGTTCTCCTTCCTAACACTGCGCCCCATCAAGCAAAACAGCGCCTCACGATAATACAAATAAATAAATAATGGAAAATAAACAAGCAACCGCCGAAGTCTCGCACGCACTAAAAGCTCCGGCAACCAGAGAACAAACACCCTTCACAGGTGCTCGTATAGAGGCAAATAGCTATTAATCGCCCACCGCAGTTTGCTGCATGCCAAACGTCCCAGCGGCAGAACTAACAACCCACAACCGCTTATGCAAAGCAATATTGGACTGGGCTGCTGGCCGGATCCTGAAATGATCTAAAGAAGTCAAACATGACGGATGAAGAGAAAAGTTAAATAGAGAGGCCGTGGGTTCGCCACCTCCTTAGTGTCTGCTCAAAGAATATATATTCGGACTGCCACTCTCATGACACGATGTGCTTTGTTAGTACTAGATATATTATAACTCACGGAGTGGCAAACTTTGGACTCCTCCTGCCACAAGACCCCGCCGCTCCCCTTCGCAAGTTCCACCCCTTCGCCAAGTCCTGAAGTGTAAACACGCGACCACGCGATATGCCGTCTGCAGGGTTTTCTGCTGACACCACGTAGGCAAAAGTTGCCTGTATTCCGCGAGAGTAAAAAAACTAATATATCCGTTGCAGCTCCCACGTCATGACGTGTGATTTCGAGCTGCCTTTATTCGCCGCTCATCGCGGTAAAGTGCTGTCCACCCAAACGTCTATGTTGGATAGCAAGATGGCGGAAAAGGCCGATAAGGCTAAGCGTACCGCTCGTGCCTCGGCCTGCATGATAGGAAACGCTTCCTCTTCCATTTTTCCCCCGGCAATTTTAACGTCGCCGGAGTCTGGAATTAAAAAGGACCCCCGTCCATGGAGCGATGCTTCCGTGATGATGGCGGCCGATGCCTTTTCCGTCGGATTGATGGTTCGCTTGCGATTGTTCTCGATGGTGTGTCGTAACCTCTCGCCCAAGCCAACCGCTGACGGCGGAAGGTTCGCCGGGGATGTCTCCCGCACAATTCCCCGGTTAAGTGCCAATAATCGCCGTCGCACTGCCTTGATAAAAAATTAGTAGTCGCATAAACGCGTGCCAGAAATGGCAGCCGCGTACAAAAAACGTGACGCCACAACCTCCATTCCCGCGATGGTCAAAGAATTCATCGCCGGCATGGCGCGCACAGACCGGACAAACCTGTCACTCAGAGATACTGCCTGGTGAGTGTGATCAAACTGCACCCACAGGAAGGTGTACTGCGTAGCGCCCGATTCGCGTTCTTCCCTATCGTGGCGTGACAACTGTCCGCATTACTAAGCACTTGGGATTCCCACAATGTCGCACCGCTTTTCGACCCTGCAATGCGTATATTACCGATCCATACGTCGTCGCACACCGATGGAGGTGCAGCCCAGAGGCGGTGAACCACCGTCGTCACCACCGCAATTGCCAAGGTAATAATAATCTGGAGAATTTCTGGGCTGGCTTTGTATCCCATAGGGAGCCGTGTCAGCTCCTCCAGCATGCCGTCCTCCACGCGGCATCGAAAGAGATGCCGAGTATCCCGCGGTAAAGAGACTTGAAAAAAGGATGCCTTTAAATCCAGGCAGGAAATGGCCTCCACCATCACAGGCGGCAAATAATGGGAAATGTGTAAAAGAGGAACATTCGCCTCGTAAGGGTCGTCTCTGTTCTTGCCGCGTGGCCACACGATCCATCGTCGTCGCAAACCAGTGGTTTTCTCCTCCACAACCGAGAAAGGTATTATCCATCCGCCTGTTATTGTGGACGAAGCGTCCTCGATTATTCTTGCTTTTCGTAACAAATGCGCATCAGCGGTTGGAATCCTCCGTGAGCCTTCGCGCGCTTTACCGGAGGAAGACGGAGGGAAAGGGGACCGCCCGACGAGTCCCCATACTTGCATGAGCCTCTCCAAGGTGGCCGGTTTCAACCGACTTTTAATCCACTCCAGATTCAATACGGGCACGTTGACTTGCTGTAACGGGATGGCGTGTTCCTCTTGTGGAGTGGCCAGACGCGTCCTTGTCGCGCGTCTCGTTATTTTAGCGGCATGATTGTGATTAAAATCATGGAAAAAACGCTCCTCCGTTCTTAGCCAGAGTTCCTGCCCTTCCGCCGTTTCTCCCTTCACATCAATGCGACCAGCGACGACACCTGGGTCAGCATTGTGGTGTACCTCCCCAAATATCGCACTGTGTTCTGGGGAAGGTCGAACGGGTCGACGTGCTTCGCCAACTGCGAGACCACGTGTGGGTCCAAATCGCATGTCTCCACGATTGGAGCAGCGTGCCTCAACGCTCCCCGTTTTATGGAATGCGCCGTGGCATCCCAAGGAGCCAGAGATCGTGTCACCTGTGCAGTCGTAAGATTCGTGAGCTTTTCGTTTTCTTGAAGTGTCCTGCATAGCTTTATAGTGTGGAAGGCGTCCTGCCCTCGTATCCTCACGAACCGCAAGGCGAGGTATGGATCCGCCCTCGCCGTCCTCGGCGCCACGGGCCAATCCAAAACTAAGGCCCCGTCTGGCTCCATTGTGAGATTGTTGGGGTTAAGGCCACAATCTCGGACCAACAGCTCGCCGTTATCCACGCAAGTCGGAAGACAACACGTTCCTTCCAACCGGTCCGGCTGCGGATTACTTGATTCATTCCTTCCTTTGTCGAGGAGCGTGCCTGCTTTGTCTCCTTTCGCGCCGCAATTTTTTGTAACCCCAGAATCGCCATGCCCAGCGGGGTTCGATCCATTTGCGACATGGACCGCAGCATCCTGGCGTGCTGCTGTCGGGTCTATGGCGCCACATCTAACATTGCCATCAAAAAGGCCGCGCAGCTCTCCGCGTTGATCGACCGTTCGTGCGTGCGGCATAAGGTTGTGAATTGCCCTGCTAGGGACATTCTCTGCTTCCACGTTGACGGCGCCCAAATTTCTCGAGCCACCTCGTTCGCTCTCATGTAGCTTGTCCAAAGCGGAACTGCCGGTGTTTCGTCGTACCACAGTCGAGCGTCGTTGGCAGATAAGCTCCATCGCCCTTCTCGTCGATTGCGTTGGGCAATGTGAAATATCGGATGGAGCGTCGGCGGCGCGGTGCGACTTCTTTGCGGAATAGCGGGAGGTGGTGGAATGGATGGGGCTGCCGTCGTCCGCTTTCATAAGAAGCAGCAAGCAGCCCCTCGCCGTTTCTTGACGGCCGTCCGCGCTACGAGTAACTTCCTCCGGTTTCGTCTCGGACGTTGCTTTTAGATGTGTCGTGTCCATAAACATGACATAACTGGCGTCGCACAGTGCGCTGGGTTTCTCGCCGATCCACGAGAAGCTGCGCTGCATTCGCAAAGATGTCCGTCTGGTGAACGGCGGTGCAAGGACGGGCGAGAATGTTGGAGAGCGGGATCCCGGGGTCGGATGCAATCGTGAGCTGCATCCGGAATGCCTGCAGTAAGGTCCTTCCAAAACTCATAAAGCGATCGGTGGGATCCCGCTCCGCTTCCACCGCGCCAATCCACGCAATCAACACTCGAAGGGAAGTTGAGCCTGGTCGTCCGCCTGGTGCCAGCACTTGTATGCACCCGGAGGTCGACAACGAGTCTGGAAATGCCCTCATTCCATACACGTGTGGCCCAGGTGGTGACGCCGAGTGCGCGGAACCTTCGTTCCTCTTCTTCTGTACCGGAATGGGCGTCCAAGAGGGATGTGCTGGAGGGCAAAGGCATTAAGGAACGGAAATGTGGTCACCCGAAATTGCCCCGAGACGTCTGGGGAATAACCTGCCGTCTCTCTCGCGCCGGGCTTCGCCAGGCCGTGCGTAACGACGCATCCCCAACCATTAAGCGATGCGTTTGATGTGGTTGTTCGGTAACGCCATCTTCGGCCGTATTTTAACGCGTGACAGGCCTATCTGTCGAGCCTCTCCGAAAGGTTGGAACTTCTTCCCGGCTCGCCGTCTCCGCCTCCCACGCGGCTTGCTGCGTCTCTCTTGCACTAACGCGTGCCTTTCGTTCCTGTAGTTGGGCACGAGTCGCCTCCAACTGCTGCTCGCGTCCGGCGAGCACGTATTCTCGTTCTGCAAAAAGGCCGCCGGAGACCGCAATGTCAGATTCGCGCACCAATAGGTTGTTATGCGCCTACTCCACCTGAAAATTAAGCTACGCGTTTCGATTCTGCACGTCTGCGGTGGCATGAGCGTAGTCAGTGCTCAGGCGCTCCCTTTCAGCGTTGACGAGCCCTTGTTGGTGCCCCAACTCCCGGGCCGCCCCACATGATGGGTAGGAGCACTTGAGCCTCGACATTTGGTACTTGAGGCGCCCTGAGATTCGCAACGTGTCCTGTAAGGCTCGAATCCTCCCACCGACTGGCAACTTTTCCCGAAACCAAGCGTAAGCCTCTCATAGAGGCGGCCACAGTCAGCGTCGCGTACGACGGCCCGTTTTCATCAACAAAGGTGAGCCGCACCTGAATAGCGCCATGTTGGCGTACCAATTCCGAGAGACGGCCATCAATATCGCTCCACTCGGGGGCCGTGTAAGAAACCAACGCCATTCCTCCATATAAAACAACCTCGCTGTGTCTGGAAACTTAAAATTAGAAATTAAAAAATTAGCTGCCGCTATCGACTCCCTAAAGTCGTAGCCTTCCCAAAATTCATAAGACAGAAAGGTTTCGTAAAGAAGTGTATTCGTTTTATCAGGATACATATACATTAATTAAGTTTGCCAGCCCTCTCGCGATCATTCTCTTCGCAAGCTCCCCAAACAAATTATATGGAAAGATATAGATACAAAAATAGGCATCGATCAATGTATAGATATAACTATATGGATAGGAATATAAAAACGCTAATTTATTCTTATTTATTGACGCATGTATAGATATGGATGTATCCCTTCTCTCCCCTCCACACTGAGAGACAGATTGGCTACTTGGTTTATTAAAATGCTATTTCATTGGCTGTGTATGTATATAGATAGGTATATAGTTGTCGGTATCAATATCTATTCAGCGTTTTCGATACATACATACATATATGTATATTGTTACTATTCCTCGTGTCTTCTCAAATAAATACGAAGACCCACACGCCAGCCACCATCGCAGAGCACGTCCGCCCAACGATCGGAGATCTAAAAGAGAACCCGGCACCCGAAGTGGGAGCCGCAGCGGAGTAAATGCAGACCTGCCTCTACGCACAGTTCAAACCGGCCGGTTCTCAAAATTTTAGTTCAATGCCGTGGCGTGCCATGAGGTGGCGGGTCAGACAGGCATTGCTGTGGCACTGAAACACGCACGCCGGACGGCGAAACTCAGCCGGTGTTGATCCCATCGGGTTGTCGCCACCGGGCAACGTGCGCCTTCTCGGCGGCCTGACCCCTCTGCCGTCGTGACATCGGCGACAGCGTGACGTCCATCAATGCATGTGTGCATGCCATTTTAGGCACACACGGTGCACTGTTTCTCGGTGGCATTCCCCTCCTGTGCAGAGGCGGGGTTACTGTGTGGGTTTGATGTTCTTCATGCGGAGGTTCAAGCCTTGCAGCGCGTGGCTATTTAATCTCCATTTTTAGTGTCCCGACCTTCTTTCTGTCAGGTGCTTGTGCCGTGTGTGGGTGGTCAATCCCCCGGCATTACCCGCCTGCCGGTCGCATCAAGGGCACTTATGAAGTGCTTCTTTCTTCGGTGCCGACCGTGGCTCTGTTCTGGAGCGTTCGCGTGCTCGCATAAGGAATAGCGGTCCCGTTTTCGCTTGAGCCCCGAATTCCCAGTACGTGCATTCGAACGGGGTGCATGTCGTCAGACCGTCATATTCCTGGCAACGCCTCCTATTTGTCGGGGGGACTCTTGCTTTTGGAAGTGCCGAAGATAAAATACGGTTCCGGCTTGCTTTTCGTACAACACCGTGCGGAAACTGCATGGGAGTGGCTTCGGCCTGGGCCGTGCAGTCTGCGGCGGAGGTGCGGTCGGTGTGCCGTCTCTCGCTCTCGTCCTCGCCCAAGCGCTGGGCGGGGGTTCCGGTGGGATTTCTGGCGGTTCCGACTCACCGCGAAAGTTAACTTTCCACAGCGCCTGGTAGAGCGCGTAATGCCCTGGGCGTTAACCATGTGCGTCACGACACCAGTGTAGCAGCTGCAGTGTTTGCCGCACACCGGGCAGTCTGCCGGGAGTCGGATCGTGGCGGTGTGGGGTCCAGCGGGAGGAGGAGGCGTTTCCGTGTAAACCTTTTTGCGTGCCTGTTGTGAGGCATCCGGGCCGCACCAACGGAATGTGCTCGGGATGGCGGGTTGCAGTGGCCGTGGCAGCCATCCGTATTTGTGCGAAACCCCGGTGCGGAGGCGGTCCAGTGCGGCCTCTTCCCCACGAGTGAGAGTGGCGTCCGTGCAAGTGGGTTCCCAGTCGCCTGATACAGTGGAGCGGTAGGCTTCTGGCTTGAGCTGTCGGGCACCAATAATACGTTCGGCCAGTGCAACGATGCCGGTGCTCCATGTGCCTCTGAGCTGTGCGAGGTCGGATGCCTTCTCGGCTTATGCACCACAAGCTTCGTTCCTGGGTACGCCGCAGTGGCCAAAAACAAACTGCATCCGTGTGCACGCTCCTCGGTGCTGCTGGCAAGAAAAAAGGGTACGTCCACAATGTGAGTCACCAGGTGATCCAGAACCGTCGACGGGTGCTCGCGTGCTCCCACGGTTCGACGAGAAGGCGCATAGACGCACGCTGCCGTGGAAAAAGTCCCGGTGAATATCGTACTCTCCATGCCAACACCACACCGCTCTGCATCTGCTGTGGTGCATGGACTTCGCACGGCCGGAGGGAAATTGGAAAAAAGAAAGAATTCCTCGTGGAGGCGTCCCCGTACCAGCGTGGCCAATCCGCGACAATATCCCTTGCCCGTGGAATGCGGTGCGCCAACTACATCAATGGCAGCGCCGTGAAGGGATGTGCAAATTGCCGGAATTGGCCGCCACACCTCCCGCGCACAAAAACTTGCGGGCCGTAACGGGCAACAAATCCCAATGCCGCGTCATCCAAGGCTCGAGCGTTCCACATGCACACCTGAGGGATCCAGCCATGGAATGCGGTGCGCTTGAAGATTATTGTGGAAAGTGACTGGGATGGCTTGGTCCGTCACTTCCACCGCTAAAGAGACATCGATCACCCTGTGCAATCGCCACGCCAGGGCAGCCCGAAATCACAGCAATACGTCGCGCCTCAATACATAATCTCGCTCGAAGGCGTTCCTGGAAACCTGGAGCCCTGCTACTACTCTGCCGCCGCTTTGCTTCTGAAAGCTGTAATGCCTCCTGCATGGAAACCCACGGTAAGGCAGGGCTGCAATTCATTACTTCCAGTAGGCGGTTCATTGTACCCTTTTTCTATTGCACAAAATGAGCGCTGAGTCCCTCGCACACAACTCCGTGAAATTACAGTCCGATAAAACGCAACACCAGCAGTAACAAGAGCGGCAATTCAATCCCCTTCCACACGATCATTGTGAAACGGGAGCAACTCCTGAAAGCACTCGCTCAAAATGGGATCATTTCACAAACAACGACCGACAACACGGTCGGTGCGGTTAACGATGACTGGCTGTGGTGCGCAGCACATCCGTGGCCCTGCGTCCTCCCGCATCAACCAGCACCGCACGCCTGTCAGTTCTACGTGTTGCACATCACAGGAGGGCGCGATCACTTTTGAGGCTCGCACTGGATGCGCGGTCCAGTAGACTCAGCGCGTCTGAGCGGGTGTCACCGGACACAGACTGCAACGGCACTGCGGGTGGTCGGTACAAGGACGCGCCGGTGGTGTCTGAGGCGTACGACGATGACGCCATGTCGTACGGCTTCCGCGTCTCTTCGTCGCTCTCCTCGTCATCGCGCAGCAGCGCCTCCAGCCCACCACGCCGAGGCTCGCGCAGCTCCTGCCAGTGGCGGTCCTCCGCGTACCACACAACGACGCTGTACACAGTGACCGCAAGCAGCACAGTCGTCAGCAGCAGCACAATCGCCACGTACGCCCTCGCTCCGCCGTCGCTCGGCGCAAGGTGGTTCGCCGCGCTGACCAGACACAGCAGTGCAAGGAGCACAAAGCTCGCAGTGTGCGTCATCGTCAGGAAGGCCGAGCGCATCATGTTCGTGAAGGCAACCACGCCTGCACCCGCAAGCAGCACAGCAGCCATGCAGAAGTACTGGACGTGGCAGCCTCCCACGGGCGGGTGCACAGCCGCAATCAGGCACACCACACACAGCACCGACACCTGGAACACGCACCAGTACACGTGGCCGCCCCTCATGTTCGTCAGCATGCCGCCGTACATCCGCTGCTGCGCCGCGGGGTGCCAATACCCGACGGGGTACAGCAGGCGCTCGTGCAGCGGCTTCCTAGAAAACTGCCAGTACCTCGTGAAGCTCGCGCCCGTGTGGCGGGCAATCAAGTAGCACACACCAGCAGGGAACGCCACACCGTACAGCACGCCAACGACACCGATCACGCGGTGCAGCACGCGGGCGCCGGGCATCGCCAGTGCAAGCACGGAGCCGAAGAATATGCCGAGGTGCATCGCGTGCGCCACAACGTACGTCAGGTTCGGGAACCGCATCGCAGCCCACGCACTCGCCGCGTCCACGCCGCGCCACCGCTGGAAGGCGGCCGTCACACCGTAGTGCACGCACCCGAACACAGCGGCCAGCAGCGCGTTGCCCACCACCATCCACAGCGGGTCAAGGGCAGCAAACACCGACAGGAAGTACGGCAGCGCAACGGTGCTCGCACGCTCCTGCGCCGAGGCGCATGGCATCCTCGCGAACACGCCGAGCGCCTGCAACTCCAGAACGGAGCCCAGCCCGCCGGTCACCAGCACGGCAACAGCCGTCGCACCCGCAACAACGCCGGTGATCGCCGAGAGGGCGCTGGCTGCGGCGGGCAGCGTGTTCGAACTGATCGTGAAGGACCCAAGCAGCACACCCTTGCAGCCGCCAAACACCGCCGCAGCGTCGCAGCGAATGACTATCGTTTCGTCGGCAGCAATGAAGTAACCGCGGTGCACAGGCACAGCCAGCTCCAGGACGGTGGACGGATTCGTCGCGTTGCGCACCCACGTCGCGTTGCTCAGCATCGCTCCCCACGGACCGCCAAACCCGCTCGGCTGCGCCGTCGACACAGGCACAAAGCTCAGGTGCGTGCCGGGATGCGGGTCGCGTGCCCACCGAAACGGCGGCGGCAGCGCCACCATCAGCCGCGTCGGGACGGCGCTCCCACCGCCGCGGATGTCGTTCTGCGTCAGACTTCCACCAGCCGCCGTCGTCGTCACAGCAAGCGTCGGGCACGCCACGTCGCTCCACCACAGCGTGCCGCTCACCGACGCTGTGGGGGTCCGCGTGGGCGGCGGTGCCACCGTCTCCGTCACCTGCAGCGTCTTCGTCGGCCCGTACGGCGTCGGACTGTAGTGCGTCGCGCTTGGGCTCGGCGTCCACGTTGGCGTCGGGCTGCGCGTCTCCGTCAGCGTCGCCGTGTGGCTCAGCAGCGGAATGCCGTGCGTGCGGTTGCACCCGTCCACGTGCGGCAGGTACACCGGCAGGCAGTCGTGCCCGTACCCGCCCTCAGCACAGCGGCAGCGGCACGACCTCGACATCGCCCTCGTCGTAGCAGCAAAGCAGCGCACTTCGGCGTCGCACACACCACACGCCACGGGGCGGAATTCCCCGATGATGCCGGTGGACCTGTAGTCCATCGGCTGCAGCGCCTGCCCGTTGAGCGTCAGGCACCCCACGACGAAATTTCGGCCGGCGCCCACAAGCGCAACGGTGCCGTCCATCACGACGGGTCCACGGCCGGCGTTCCCATAGAGCGTCAGCGTGCTCTGCACGAGCTCCGCACTGTGCGGGTACGACGGCACCGACAGAAGCCTGCCGCTGATGCTGTTGCCGCGCACCGACAGCCACGACCCGGACGCAAACGACGCCGACCCCCGCAGCTCCAGCAGCGCGCCATCCGTCAGTGCACCGGTGTTGTCATTCACCACGATGGCGGACGCGTTGGCCTCCACTCCACTGCCGAATACCAGCCCATGCGCAGCGTACACCTGGCTCCCCGACGCGCGCAGCACAGCGCTCCCCGACGCAACCACGCGCGCACTCGCGTACAACGCATATTCGCCACCGAGCACAGCCGAGTCCAGCGCGACACCGCCACCGACGAGCTCCAGCACAACGCCGTCCACCACCACCGTCCGCCCACCAGTCATCACGGTCACGAGAGCAACGCCAGACACAACCAGGACGGACCGCACGAGCCGCAGGCCCGACAGCACAAGCACCGGTGCGTACGGCGACGACTGCGAGCCGGGAAGACACACAAGCGGCGTCGGCCTCGCGGCAACCAGCAGGGAGTCCGTCACCGTCAGCACAGACCCCGCGGGAAACGTCCCGGTCAGCACAAGCGCACCGTTCAGCGCCTCCACATCGCACACCGACAGCTCCACCGGCCCGCTCTCGTCGCTCCCCGCACCATCCGCATCGCGCAACGCTCCACCGCCCATCACGTACAGCACGGCGCCGTTCAGCAGCGACACGTTCTGCACAACGATCCGCACGCCGTCCCGCGCCATCCACGGCACGTAGAGCACCGGACTCACGCCGTCCAGCACAACGTGGCGCAGCGTCACCTCGCTCACACCGGCAGGCACAACGAACACCGACTGCACCGTCACGCCCTCACGGACAAACAAACTCGACGCGGTGCCCACAGAGGGCGGCAGCGCGGGTGCACCCACAGGCACGCACGCCTCGCCGTGCCCACCGCTGCCGCACATGCACGCGCACACACCGTTCCTCATGCTCGCCGACGCCGTCCCGGGGGCGTAGCAGTACGTGTCCCTGTCGCAGTCGTCGCACCCAACAACGTCGATGCGCCCAGCGTCGCCAAAACCAGCCGCTGCGTACTCCTCCGCCGTCGACAGGACACGTCCACCAGCGTGGTTACACGCCACCCTCACATGCGCCCCAGCCGAGAGCGACAGGCTCAGCGACAGCATCCGAGACAGCAGTGCTCGGTTGCGCACAAGGCTCAGCGTGCTCCCAGCAGCGGCCACGGCGCCAGCGGCGTAAAGCATCTCCCTCGAGGCGCCGTCGTGCACGTTGCCCTTCGCCAGCAGCATCGACCCGTCGGCCAGACTCACCGTCGAATAAAACGCCACCGCGTATTCTTCCGTCGACGCAAAGTCGCTCCGCACAAACGCCACAACGGAGCCCGACACGCTCACAGCCCCACGCACAGACACCGCGTGCTTGCACAGCAGGAAGTCGCTGTCAACAAACGCCACCACGGAGCCGCCGCTGGCCGCAACGCCGCCCTCCACCGACACGCACAGCCCCAGCGCCGCCTGCACCAACAGCCCGTCCACGTACAGCGCACCGCGCGACGACAGCGCCACGCCGCCAACCACAAGCACGCCAACAGCGTCACGGAACACAGCCGCCACATGCGTGCGCGCAATGGTCAGCACGCTCCCCGTCAGATTCACGTTGTGCAACACGAGGCACGCGGAGGCGTCGCCAAGGTCGTAGGCGTCATGGTACGCAACGCGCTTCTCTGCGATCAGCACCGAGTCCACCACAGTGACGCGCGAGCCCGGCGGAAATCGGTTAGCCACCAGCACGCCGCCGCCGGAACGCAACTCAAGCCCGCTGATCAACACATCGGCACGCTCGCCAGCGGGCGGGTCGGAACGCCACCCAACAACGTACAGGCTCGCTCCGCGCACAAACGTGCAGTTCACCAGCGTCACGTTGCGCACGCTCCCTGACATCGACTCCACGTCCACCACGACGTCCGCCGCAAAGGTCACACCAACGTAGCACACCACCGACGTCCCGAGACCGGCGTTCACCTTCACACCCACACGCACGTCCCGCACGCACAAGTCGGCGCCGTCGGTGCTCGGCGGCTCGGGGACAGCAACGGGCAGGCACGCATCGCCATGGCCGCCCTCAGCGCATGCGCAGGTGCAGCCATCACTCGAAGCCGTCGTCGTGTACGCGGGGAAGCACGACGTCGCGAGGGCGCATGGGTCGCTGCAGGTCAGAATGGTGGCATTGTACACGGACGGAATAACGTAGTTCGCTTCCTCCTCGCCGTTCACAGTGTTGCACGCAGCCACAATCGCTACGTTTGTGAGATCGCTGGGTCGTGAGTATATCCATAACGCTGTGTGCGTGCCCTTGCTGGACATAAACTGGTTGCCGGACACGGACACCGTGGAGTCGCGGAGATTCACTGTGGGATTCAAAACAGCAAAAGCACCCACTGGGGACACGCGGCAGAGGTTGCCGCTCAACTGCAGCCAAGAGTTGTAGTAAATATGGGAATGGTGGCTTGAAAAAAAAACCGCCGAGCTTCCTTGCATGTCGTTGTCCCGAAAAACAACCGCTGACCGAGACTCCACACAAAAAAAACAAACAAATATGATGACGTACTGCACCAGGCTCGACACAAGATTGCCTCGGACCACCACAGCAGAGCCGTTCAGTACAAACAGTGACAAGGATTCGGCATAACCTTCAAGATGTATCGGTGTGCCCTCGCCACCAGCCATATGAAACGCGTTGCCCAACACCGCAAAAACAGAGTGCCACGTCACCCTCAGCGCATACCTGACAACTTGAATGGCGCTTGACGATGTCGTCATGGTCTGAAACGCATTGCCACTGAGCACCACCGCAGAGTAGTTGCTGATCGCCAGTCCATTCATCGCAACACACGACGGCCTCCTAAGGTCCAAACCCAGCCGAGGGATCATTCTCGTGACCGTGAAGCGGTTCCCGTTGATCGTGATGTTCGTGCGTGGTGGAAACCCACCCTCCGGGCTGAGCAGCGCGTCAATGAATGTGTTGCCGGTGACGACAATGTTCAGCGACCCCACAGCGGCGTACGCGTTGCCCAACAGCAACAGAACGGCGCCGTCCCTCCACGTGCATCCATCGAACGTGACGTTCGCCACGTCGCCCTTCATCCCCCCAATCAGCACCGTCAGGCCCATGCCGCCCCCGCTGAACGTCACGTTGCGGTAGCACAGCCACGACAGACCGCCGCCCACGGCCTGCGCAACCTCGGGGTACACCATGTCGCTGATGCACTCACCAATCGGCGGCGGTGGCGGTAGCAGTGGCGACGGCGGTGGTGGCGGCCCGGCGGGCACAGGCGCAGGGACGCACACTTCGCCGTGCCCTCCAGCAGCGCACTGGCACTTGCAGTCAATGACCGCCGTCGTCAGCGGTGCAAAGCAGTCGCCGTCCTTCGTGCAATCCCCGCACGCGGTAACCGTCGTCACCTTGGTGATGCCATTCAGCTCCAGTTCTCCCGTCGTCGTCAAAACTCGTCCTGCAACCGTCAGACATCCGGCAATGAACCCGTAGCCGGCTTCAGCCTGCGATAGCAGAGGCCTCGACAATCCCGTCGAGCCCATCCCGCAGCCCGTCAGCGTCACCACACTACTGCCGTCAATGGCAAAGGAAGCGAACTCGGATTCGTGAAACATCGCACCCACTCCCACGCTGTTGTCGCGCCAATCCAGCCAGCTTGACCTTTGGACGGTCCACAAGTCTTCTGCGTAGATGGCGCAGGCCACGATACCGCTGTTCCCCACCACGCGCAACACGCTATGCTCCGACACGCTGAATCTGTGGTGCTGATACAGGAGGCTCGTACCAGAGGACATTGTATTGTTGAGCAGCGCAAAAACAGAGTGATCACTCACACTGAGCCTGTACACGTAAAACAGGTGTTCGTACCCATCAAAGCTGCAGTAACGCGCGTACAGCGAGCTGCCACGCTCCAGCGTCAGCGTCCCAATCGAGTACAAACCATACGCATCACGCTTCGTTGCATGCGCATTGACGTTGCCGACCAACAACGAGGACGCACTCAACACGACGTCGTCCAGCAACAATACGCTCAGCATCTTTCTCACAGTATCCAAAAACTGAACTGTAGAGGACTGTACCGCATCAACCTCCGTGACGGCGATGTCGCAGCGCTGCGGGAGGGCAAGTGAAAACACAACAACAGAGGACCGCATCACCGTCTGGCTCACGCGGATCAGGACACCGGCTGACTCGGCCACCTCAACACCCCCGACAAACTGCAGCGCGGCACCCTCACGGAATGTGCATCCAGTGAGCGTGATGTTGATGGGGAGATGCAGCGGCATACTGTCGAGGAAAAACGTCAGCACGGCACCCACGCCGCTGAATGTCACATCCACGTAGCAGTGGTGCGTCTTCCACATGTTCGGCGCGAGGTTCGTCAGCGTCTGGTTCACCACGCAGCTCGTGTCGCCGTCAACGACTCTCTCCGCTACGGGCGGCAAAGAAAAGTCGGGCACCCCGAAAGGAAGACACGACGCGCCATGCCATCCGTCCTTGCAGCTGCACGAGCACGAGCTGCGGTCCACCGACTCCGTCCCGGGCATGTAGCACGCCGCGTCTTCGTTGCATGTGCCACACCCGAACACCTCCACTTCCACCGGAAACACATCGTCGTACAACACCTCCCTACCGCCCTGCAGGTTGCACCCAACCACAAACCGTGCGGGTGACGCCACGACAATGCTCGCTAAAAATATATTGAAAAGAGGCATTCTGGAGCCCACCTGACGGTTGTGTGCAAGCGACACGATGGTGCCGATGCCCAACAGCCTAATTTTGTGCCAGAAATGCGGAATAGCCAATACCGAAACTACACCGACGTTGTTGCCCTCCACACGCCACTGCGCACCTCCCTCGAGGGTCACAGAGCCAGACAAATGCACCAGCGCGGAATTGGAAACCCTCGTGCTGCCAAAGAAGGTGCTGTCCACCACTCGCAGCAGCCCCGCGGACCTCACGGTGGTACACCCAAAAACATGAACGCCATTAGCCGCACTCATCGTGTTGTTCTCTATGCTAAAGTAGCCGCCGTTCCTCATGTCAACAGCGTAAACAAAAACAGATGATTCCACACCCTCATCCTTCGTTGTGCTCAGCGTATTTCCCTTCACAATGATCCCACCACCATCAACAACAATAGTTTCGGATATATAAACTGCGTAATTATTTCCCTCAATGTGGTTGTCAAGTAGCAGCAGCGTCGAGTTTGCACCGAGGGAGAATTCCGGAAAGGCAAAGGCGTAGCTCAACGTCGACACAATCGCACTACCCACCACCAGTATCTGGGAGCTCGCGCCAAAATAACCCTTAAACTCCAATGCACCAGAATCCATCATCGAGGAGACCACGCTCACGTACACGCGCGCACCACTCCCCCTGATCGACAGGCCCACGAGGACGCACTGCAGCAGCGTGATGTTGAGTATCTGTTGTGGTGCGTCAAAACTCCACAGGTCAAGCACGATCACGGCAGTGAAGGTCACGTTGACGAAGCACAGACCACGCACACCGGGATCAGGATAGTCCACGGAGCTGATGCTGCCACCGTGCACGCAGCGGACCTCCGTGTCGTCCGCATCGGGGAGCGGGAGCGGCCCAAGACCGTCCGGAACCGCAGCTGGCAGACACGTGTCACCGTATCCGCCAGCAGCGCACACACACTCACAGCCGCTGATGCTGCTCGTCCTCGCTGCGAAGCACACGGCGTCCATGGTGCACGCACCACAGTCCAGTATCGTCACGGGCGTCCCAATATTGAGCTCTTCTCGGTAATCCGTCACAGGAGAGCCCCTTGCCTCGTTGCACACGCCGTAGATGATCGGGCGCGCGTCGGATGGTGATGACCACTTGCTTGTCATAAGTAGAATGGTTGACGAGTACGAGCCGTACGTGAAGTAGTTGTGTAGTATCGACCACACACTCCGATCGTGGAACGCCACGCCATTCTCGTTGACCACGTACAAAACGTAGGCGGTGCGGAACTCGTTGTCGCGGTGCACCAGCCAGCTGCCGCCAGTCACAGTCAGCGTGTTTGTGATGAGCATGGCAAAGCCGAGACGAAAAGTGCTGGACACGATCTGCAGCACGCTGCCTCCATCCACAACAACATCCTTAAACCCACACGCGCCTTTGTAGTATTCGGTGCTCGGCGCACTCCACGAGCTGTTCTGTATGGAAAACACGGAGCCGCCGTCAACACGCAGTTCCGACGCAAGGGCGTACATCACGTGCGTCTCCGAAATAACGACGCAGTTGTCCATGTAGAATACGCTGGACAGGTTCGCGCCGAGGCCGCGCTCCACGAGGATCGCAGCGCACGAACCCCCGCCACACACCAGCGTCGACCGCGTCATGACAAACCGCGTCGACAGAAGCCGGACGCCGTCCAGGACAAGCGCGGGGCCGTACCGAAATCCCGCGAAGCCAGTGGTCGTCTGCACGTACTGCGACCCGCCAACCGTCGCGCGCAGCGTTGAGTTCGCCAGCAGCACACTCGAGTTCGGCGGCATCGCGCCATGCAGCACGATCGTGCCCTCCATCGACGTCACATTCGTCATGTTGACGAGGACGTGCGGCATCAGGCGCGCCGTGCTCTCGCTGAGGCCGCCAATCCGCAGCTGCGCGCCGCCCGCAAGCACGCAGTGGCGCAGCGTCACGTTCAGCGCGTCGGCAAACGCATCCATCGAGCGCAGTTCCACCGCCAAAGTGATCGGCCCGCTGAACACCACCGAGTCGAAGCACGCCGTCGCACGCACGCCGCCAACCGTCACCAACTCCGTCAGCGTCACGCCACTCACGCAGCCCTCCGAGCCATCGCCACCACCGCCGCCGGCCCTCGCAAGCGGCACGTCGAACGGCAGGCACGCCTCGCCCATGCCGCCGTCGCTGCAGCTGCACACGCAGTCGGTGAACGACGCCGTCAGTCCATCAAAGCACGCCAGCGCTGCCGCACAGCCGTCGCACGGCACCACGCTCACGGAAGGCAGGCCGGCCAAACGGTAGTCGCCGCTGCTCCGCAACACACGGCCACCGGCACGGTTGCACTGCACCGACACGACGCCGCTCGTGATCGTCGGCCCGGAGACAAGCGTAGCGCCGGTGGCAGTGCTGCGCGCAATCGACACGGTGCCGCCGCTCAGCGTCACCCCCGACAGCGACGCCACAGACGATGCCACCGACGACGCCTCGCCCACCGCCCACACGTCGTGCAGCTCCAGCCACCCGCCGGCACCGACCGTCCCACCGTCGCAGCGCACCAGCGACGACGCGACAGACCCCTCGACGCCCACGAAGCGCAGCACCGAGTCGGACACCGCGAGGCGCTCTCCAAGCACAATGCCGCCGCCGCTGCTCACAACCGACACGTTCGTCACGGAGAACACCGAGTGGCTCCGCAGACTGAGACGCGACGAGGACGCCACATGCATCGCGGAAGCGGTCGCACCGCCCAACGCCTCCAGCGACACGCCTTCAAGCACCACCGCACTCGACAGCAGGTCCACACCGCCGCCAACGTACACCGCCATCCCGCCCGCCTGCAACGACCTCAGCACCGTGCTGCTCACACGCAGCTGCGTCTGCAACAGCGAGGTCGCGTACAGCACAAGCGGCGACGCCACCGCGTCCGTCAGCCCGCTCAGCTGGGAGTAGCGCATCGGCCCCGCCGTCACAATCGTCGAGTCACGGACCGTCACGTTCGTGTGTGCCGGCAGGTTGTGCACAAACACAAGGGAGCAGTAGCTCCCGGACAGCCCGCTCACGCTCACCTCCAGGCTCCGGTCACTCGCCGGCTCGCCGCTGTAGCCCCGCACGTAGATCTGCGCACCGCCGTTGCACACGCAGTTCCTCAGTTCGATGCGCAGCGCGCCGGGAAGCATCGCCGGCACGTCGAACACAACAGCCACGCCGTTCGTCATGTACACGCCGTCCATCAGCACCGTGTCCACGGCGCGGCCAACCGTGACGGCTCTGTCCACCGTTCCGCCCCGCAGTCGCAACACCACCGCATGCACCGCGGGCATCCACGCCGCCGCCGCAACCAGCGCCAACACAACAAGCAGCGCCACACGCACAGCCGCAATGGCCCTGCGCTGCACACGGTGCCGGCTGCGCGGACACGCACCCACCGCAGACCGCATCCACCGTCCCAAACACGTACCAATAGAGCTGTCGTGGTGCATCGCTCTCTTCCCGTCAATCAGAAATCCCGTTTAGCAAATCCCTTTCTACAAATGACAAATCCAGAAAAACAATTCCGATAAATCTTTATCCCAATGCTACTAATCCTAATACTGCGAGTAATCCCTAACACCTTGAAACGATAGTTGTGCTGGTAAAGCAAAAGTATCTCTAACTGCGCGGTCAAAGGAAAAGAAATAAGAGACAGCAGCAACAACAGTAACCAAACACAGTGGCACGCAAAAACATCCGGCGATACACAATCCCCGTCACAGTACAACCGCCGACACAAAGCAGCGCAGACGCAATCAAGTCAGTGACACCATCGCCCTCCCACCACCCACACAACCCCACAAAGCCACCGTGCCGAGTGGCGGAATCCCGGCAAAAAGCTAAATGACCACTGGCACCGCTCCTGTTACCGAATGGCTCCATCACATGGCGATCCCTATGCGTAGACGTCATACAGGAGCCGAGGCAGGCCACGTGGCAGCGATACGACCGCCAGTCATCAAGCGCGTACAAAAGGTGTTGGCGTTGGTGGTGCGGAAGTGGAGTGGAGAGCTCGCCGGTCGCCAGCAGTAAAAGCGTCGTTTCTAGTTCACGCAAGTCGGCATTGCACAGCAAGCAGCGGCACCATGCGCGCACGACACTGCACAAAGAAGGGAACAAAGAAGCGCGGCGGCAGCACTTGGTCACGGGGAAAAGGGTCCACACCGATTGCACATTCCGATTGGCCCACAGCCGTCCGGATGGTAGTCGTGCAGATGCCGCGCGGCGGGTGTGACTGCAGTGGACTGAGAGGACGAAGAGAGGGGACAGAGACGCAGTGCGGCCCTCATCCATCTCTGCTAACTGTGACACCGGTGACGTCATCCCGTCAGGTCACCTGCAGCAAAGACCGTCGCCGTCAGCAGCGGTCGGTGCCTTCCTCCTCAAACTGGGGCGTCATTCCACTAACGTCGTCGCTCGTCACCCACCAACACAACGAGGGAGCAACGGCAAAAGATGATGCGATACGTGCAACGAGCACGCAGCCACAGAGTCCCACTGCTGCCGCCATAACCAAACAGGACTGACTGCAGGGCGCAAAAAGAAGGGTAAACACCCCACCAAACGCTTCAGCATCACGTGGAAGAACCGCAACCGACACACGAGGCAAAGCGCCGTGAAGCAGGCGCCAAAACCAAACCTCCTCCAACAAATTCACCGTAAAGCAAACAAAAAAAACACAATTTGAAAAAGAAAGCGCCGGTGCAGAGGCAATAAATGGTTGTGGTGCGCAGCGGCCGTAGCATCGCACCCTTCCCACATCTAACGGCACCGCACCACAACGCACCGTGACGACAGCCTGCAATGACGACGACTGAGTAGCACAAACAAAGCAGCATAAACGTTTCATCCCGCGCTCGCTCAAATTTATGCTCTCAGTATGCACTGCCAACGACACAGGGAAGTACACGGAAAGAGGACTGTCCCCTCCATCCTCCTTCCGCTAACAACAGATCTTCCCCATCCTCCTCCTCGCCACGCCCTGGGTGCCGCGAAACGCCGTCAAGCAAAGCCACGTGTATAGAAGCCCTCAATGCGCGAGGCGGAGATGGCAGCCACCCACGCTCACTCCCCCGCACACATCATCTCCCACAACCTTCCCACACACAAAAGGGCAAAGAAATGGAAAATGGAATCCCGCCGCAAAACGCGCGCAGAAGCAACGGCATCCAAGTCGCACCGCAAGAAAGAGTCATTCGCACAGCGCCCGAGCCTCCGTCACCCACCAACCCGGCCAATAAGTAAGATTCTCCTAGGCTTTAACGCTCACTGCATGTGTCTCATTCCATCAGATTTTCTTCTTTCCGTCAACTTCAGAGAGAGTTCCCTTCACGAGTAAAAGGCCCCGCTCATTCTTACCTTTAATCTGCTGCTCTGTACGGCTGTAGTTTCCCAAAAACATTTAGACGCTGTCCTCAGTTACAAGTGTCGTTGGTCGCGTTGTACCGTTTCTGGTGCTGACGCCCTCAGACCCTTCCTTTAGAAGATCTGCGGCAAAGTTTGCCGCCGAGATCTCCGTTGGACCACCAACACCACTTAAATCAAGGTACTTTGACGCAATCCCAGTGAAGCTGACGTCGCTGTAGTCGCCTCCATCCCTGCAATGGAATTCAGCAATAGCAAATACATGACCCTGCACCTCAACAAAACTGGGACCAAGAGGCGAGTTTTTTTTTTTCTACTCTTACCAGCGCGTCTAGCTATACAATGCCATCTGAGTGCCGAAGAGGTGGTCGAGCAACGACAAAAGTTTCCTGCTATGAAGCAACTGCCATTGAGAAAACTTTCCGAGGCGAAGTTCCTGTTCAATGCCCAGCCGTTGACGCACAGCCAAGGTGCCTGGACATTCTAGAAGCAGATGGTGCAAGGTTTCCTGCGGGCCGATTGGCGTGCTTGTGGAAGCTGGCTGATCCTGCGGCAGCAGAGATCGCCTCCTGGCACTGCTGTTTCGATGCCGTGTGGCGTCTGGGTTGTGTGCGCAGCGACTTCTGTGCTGTGCGGTGCTTCTCCGTGTGGGGAAAACCATGTCACAGAAATCACATTTGAGCTCGGGAAGCGGTGGAGGATGTTCCGGATGAAATGACCGACAGTGACTGACGAGACCCGAGAATCCCGTCAATGTAGAATCGCAGTGCGGACATTTCTCCTTCCGACGGCGTGTGAGGGTCCGTCTGCTTACTGGAGAGACGTCTTCCTCCCTCGCCGACGGGGGAACAGTGTCCGTCCCCGGTGCAGTTGGATCGTTGTTAGAGCGCATATATGCAGACTGTTCCGGTGAGATGTTGCAGAATCGGCATTGGTTCGTGCAATCTCTCACGGCCCAGTATAGTCGGCCCCAGACCTCAGATTCCCCGCACATTGCCCTTGCGAGGTGAACCAGTTCCTGACGGTGTAGAACTTCCTGAGTTGTCAGGTCCTTACCGCTGAGATCTGATGGCCTTGTGCCGCAAAGCAAGTAGCGATGAGTGTCTTGACGAATGGTACTACGCCACTTGTTGGTGAGCTGGGTGGTAAAAAATGTCAGCAGGTCCGTATGCCACAAAGGTGCGATTCCTTGCTCCGTGTATTGTCCGGTTGCCATAGTCTGCGTCGCATACTGATCTGCAAGCTCGTTAGCATGTACTCCGCAATGTCCGTAACAAAACTGCAGGTGCACGGACCAGCCAGCACACGCCAGTGTTAGGAGACGCTGCCAGATCCGATCCTCCGTCCAGTCGGTCTGACTGAGCGGGCCCTTGTTTAGAGCCGCTAGAAGAGACTGACTGTCCGTAACCACAAGCAGGGTTTTACGCCTGTGGCGGATACGAGGGGCAATCAGCTTCTCTAGGGTTAGAAGCAGCGCACGGGATTCCGTCCTGTAGCTGCATGGGCGTGCGCCGCAGTTTATACTGGCCTTTTCTATTATCTCCGATGAGTTGAGGGATGAAAGCAGTATTCCAACCCCTGCTGAATTGGGAACGTCGACACCGCCATCGGTCGCAAGTATCTACGAACGATGGCTGTGCAGCGCCAGAGCCTCTTCGCTGACTCTGCGATTTTCCCTTATCAGCTCTTCTTCGTCAGTGATTGAGTGGTCTATCGGAAGTTCCACACCGATGGTGGCCCGGTGTGCGGAGGCCGCAAACCAGGGAGGAATGGAGCTGCGAAAGAACCGCTCTTCGCGTGGTGAGCTCTCGGTGATGCCATAGTCCTTTGTGTATGCGTCTACGAAGGCATATAGCTCGTCCCGAGATAATGGCGAGATGCGGAAACCAGCGCGAGGTGGTGGCTCAGGCGGGGGTCTCCGCATCCAGTCCGTCTGACATGCGCGTGTGTTCTCAAATATTGAGAGCCGCGCGCAGGCAAAGGACATGGAGCGGCGGCATATTAGCCTCCAGTAGCGCGGATTCCGGGTCGACAGTGCTCGGAACTCCGCTGACAATGCGTGCCAGAGTTGCGTACGTCTTCTGCATCTCATTCTTCGCTGAATCCGTCGCTACTGCCCATATGAGCTCACTGCCATAGCGTAATTTGGAAGCACCGTATCCAATGACGAACGTGCGTAGGTCATGTGGAGATGGTCCCGCCTCTTTGTGCGCTATGCAGCGTAGCTGCGATATCCGTTGCGAAGTGGCAGCGCATTGCTTGGTGGCCGCCACATTTAGCGTCAGTCGTGGATCGAGATCCATGCCGAGAAGCTTCGTAGTTCGCGATGCCCCCATGGTCATGACTGGGATTTGACATCCAGCCACTACCAGGGGCCACTTTCCTTCACGATCATAATCTGACTCCGTGTGCGTGGATAGTGTGAACCAAGCAGCTTCACACATTGACGGGTTAATGGCCAGGCCATTTTCCTGACTCCACGCATGCAGCTTTTCAAGAACCATGTTGGCAGTGGGAATGGCGTCTTCCCGGGACTGCCCCTTAACGATAATAGAGAGGTCGTCCGCATACATGTCTGCTGTGACACCCGCAAAGCTGTTCAGCAGATTGAGAAGTGGGTGTACGTAAAGGGAGAACAAATACGGTCCCAGCACGGACCCCTGAGGAACTCCTCGCAGCATGGGACGCCGATCGCTGTGTCTGTGGCCAACTCGTGTCTTCGCGTAGCGTCCACATAGAAAGTTTCTAAGCCACCTTCTACAATTCACCCCCGGAATATTAGCCAGCAAGCGACTGAGGACTCGATGATCTATGGAGTCAAAGGCCTTGCTGAAATCAACCAGCACTAGCAGGGTCCGATGGGGTCTGTAGTGGAGTTGATTGCCAATACCGCTCTTCTTGGGAAGACTCACTTGGAAATAGTGATTTCTATTATGCTCCACTTCGTGTATCAGGTGTGCCAGCTGCATCGTCGTGGTACGCATGCTACGATATGCATACTGGTGGGGATGCGGCGTCCACACCCAAAGCAATCTCTTCAGTACCATTT